TAAAAGCTTCATATAGGTAAATAAATGTGCAGTGTATTTTGGTGGTTGACTTCTGGTGTGTGATTGTACGTATTGTGTTTTTGACAGAATCAGCTCGGCATTTTGTGGGCGGGAAGAGATGAAATCGAAAAAGCACAAGGATTTCTGGAAATCGCCGAATCTATGTATTTTCTCTACATGAGAGAGGTGTGTGCGGACCGTTTTGTCTCAAAACCTAGTGAAGTAACGTCACCTAACGTTACCTAAACTGCAACGGCATTGTGTTATGAGTTCCGCATGAAGTCGCTGTGACGTCTCCTCAATATTTGAGCATAACCTGATAACCCTAACCCCAAATGACGCACTTATACAATGTATTCTACCGTCTAGTCTCTGAGTTATATTTGTGCATGAAGTGTGCAACATTTCACCTTTAGTTTTTATAAAAACAGCTTTTATTAAAGTAAAGTTTTTTTACCTTGACATTCATTTCTAAATCATTCTGATGGTACGCTGGCTTCTGATAAGGCGAATGAGACCGGTTTCATAAGATGTTTCTTACTGGGATAGATGACAGACCCTTTGACAGCTAGACACCCCAATTAGGACAGTGATATATTTACCACAGTGAATTACACACACTTAACTGTAGGGGCTCCAAAAAGTCTCAGAATTGCATAAAACTACATACAGTTACTCATACATGTTGAAAATGATGTTTTGTGCTGACATTTGTTCCCTTTATGCATATCAGGATGGTCAACCACCACTAGATCTTCAAGACTATTTTGTGTTGGAGGGAGAAGAATTATCCCAACAAGAGAAGATAAGAAGGTAATATCCCTCCCCATGATCCCCTCTTTATTATTGTGCTTCTACAAATGTTTTAACCCCACTTTTTCCCTGTATGTGTCAGCAGGTTTGAAATGGCATACACGCACACACTGTATTATCTGGCTCAAGTGTACAAGAATCTGCAGCAGTATGAGAGATCTGGACAGTACTGTCACAGTACACTACAGAGGCAGCTGGAGTACAAGCAGTTTGTGCCGCTTGAGTGGGCCATTAATGCAGCCACACTGTCACAGTACTACATCACCAAGGTATGATGTATAAAGTGTGTGTGTTCCATGTAGTTTTGGAACAAGCTCATGCAAACTGCCTATTTCCATTGTGTGTAATGTTATTTCTCAGGGGTTTTTTGTGTATCATGACTAGAGATGTCCAGATCATGTTTTT